AGAAAGAAAGAAAGAAAGAAAGAAAAGAAAGACCAGTCTGCTCTGATGAAGCTCTGGGCTCTGCAAGCCCAGGGCTCCACCCCAAACTGGGCTCTGCTGGCTCCATGCCTCTTCCACCCACACCGGGGCCCCTTGGCTGGCCTGTCCCTGCTGAATCCTTGGTACCCACCCTGTCCCTGTCTTCCTTTTCCTCCACAGGTGGCCGTGCTGACTGTCTCAGAGCAGGCAATGCCTCCAACCCCAGCTACTCCTGAGGACGCTGCCCCGCTCTGGGGCTCCCTGCCTGCCCAGGGCAGCCCCGGAGATGGAGGCTTCCAGGGTGAGTGGGTCAGAGAGGCACACACTCCCAGGTGGATGAGTACTGGCTGGGAATCAGGGGAGTGAGATTCTGGTCCCCACCCTGTCACTGACTCCCAACTTCACTCTCTAGCAGGCCTCAGTCTTTCCATCTCTCCATTGGGCCTGAGAGGATGGTCTCCTGAGCACTGGAGTCCCAGGAGGCCCAGCAGCTCCAGCCAACTATGCCCAGAGTTGAGCTGAGGCTGGGCCTTTGGATGACACTGACCTCTGCTTACCCCCACACACAGGGCTGCCAGGAGCCAGAGAGAGTATGAGGGCCCCACTGCTCCCTCGAGATGGTAGGTGCTGATGGGGGAGTGGGGCCAGGGTGGGGTCAAGAGCAAATCTGGAGCTATCAGTCTTACCTACTTTGTCCCCCAGACCAAGTTGGTGCTCTCGGGCTGCCTGGGCCCATTGGCCCCAAGGGAGATGCTGGTAACCGGGGCCCAATGGGGATGAGAGGCCCGCCAGGTGAGTGTCCACAACACACTCCCCAACCTGCATCCCCACCACCAGGTAGACCCAGGCTCAGGCCTTCCTTCGTGCTTCTGACATAGACAGAGCAACCCGGGCCCCTTTACCCATTTGCCTCTCTGCTCACCACCCCTCCAGGGGGTGCCCAATTCATGCCTGGGCTTCCTGAAACCCCTGCATCCTCTTGGCCCCATGTTCCCTTGGCATCTATGCTCAGCAGGCTCTGAGCTGGACACCGGAGTGGAGTCAGACATATCCCTGCCCTCCTGTAGCTCCCAGACCTGTGGGAGTGGGGGGCTGGGCAGAGGAAAAATAGCAGTGCCCACCACATGTGACCAGAGTCTTTATGAAGGGTTTGGGAGTATGAGAACCCCAAGGAAGGAAAATCCAGCCTGGACGGGATGGAGGCCCTGAAAGCTGTGCTCGTTCTCCTAATGGACAGCCAGGGAGGGTAGACCTCTGGACTCAGAGCCCATTCTCATGTCTGTTGCCCAGGCTGCCTTGGCCTGCCCCCTTGAGGCCACCTGGACGTCCCTGCCTCCTGTACATCCACCAACCCCTATGATTCCATTGCAGGTCCACAGGGTCCCCCAGGGAGCCCCGGCCAGGCTGGAGCTATGGGCACCCCTGGAGAGAAGGGACCTCCGGGACCACCAGGGCCTCCTGGTCCCCCTGGGCCTCCAGCCCCTGTTGGGCCATCCCATGCCCGGATCTCCCAGCATGGTGAGTCCCACTGAGGTCCAGGCAAGTGGGATAAGGGTGGAGTAGCCATCACCACCATGGCCACTACCATCTGCCAGGTATGTTCAGTGTGCCAGACTTGCCCATAGTAGGCCACTTGTCATCCAGTCTTCCGACAGGTGCTACTGTCCTCCTGTGTTCACAGATGAGGAACACTGAGGGCCAGAGAGGGGTGGTCACTTGCCAGGGTCCCACAGCCAGGACATGGGAGACTGGCTTCAAACCCAGGCAGCTCCCAGAGCCTGTGCTCAAAATCACCCATCATCAGGTCCTCCCTAAGCCTTGGAGCTGGCTGGAGTCCAGCCTACAGAGTGCCAGGAAGCTCAATGCCTGACAGCAGGAAGCAAGCCCCAAGCTCCTAAGGCCACAGGCCTGGCCCTGTGCTCCGAGATGCCCTGGATCCCTCCTCCAGACTGGGCCTTGACGTGCATCTTTGGCTTCCTCCCTTTGGCAACCCAGCCTGATGTACACATGGGCTCCCAGGGATCAGAGCATGGAACATCATGTTCAGCCTCATCTACAGGGTATCTTTGGTGCATGACCCCGCGCATCATTCATTCATTGTCCTATCCCACTGTTCATTCCATCTCACTAGTCATTCTCCCTCTCCAAGCCTTGGTTCCTTCTCTGTGCAGTGGAGATAGTGACAGTGCCAGCCTTCTACAGCTCCTTAACGCCCATGCACAGAAGTTCAGCACACTGAGTAGTCAGTAAATAGTAGCTTTTATTAGCATTCCCATTTGACAGGGGACAGTATAGGCTCAGTGAAGTGGAGAGTCTTGCTGGATGTCACTAGCTTGAGTGCAGTGGCATTAGAACCCAGGTCTCCCTGCCTTCTGCTCTTATATGGCCAATACTCACCTCACTCCCCACCCTGGAAGCAGGTGCCTGGTAGCTCTGGCCTGCAGGCTGACCTGTAGGGCAATCCAAGCTGCCTTGGCAGAGATGACAGGTGAAGAGCAAATGCCCCACTCCACTCAGCTCTGCTCACTCACCATCTTTCCTATTCCAGGGGACCCACTGCTGTCCAACACCTTCACTGAGACCAGCAGCCACTGGCCTCAGGGACCCGCTGGGCCCCCAGGTCCCCCAGGACCCATGGGTAAGTTGAGTCCAGGCCCAGGGTAAGGGATAGAGCTGGTAGATGGCAAAGTGAATAGGTATTGGAAAGGAGCTGATGGGGGCTTTCTGGCATTGTACTCTGTCTGGCCCTGAGGACATCCTATTTTATTGCAGGTCCCCCTGGACCTCCTGGCCCCACAGGTGTCCATGGGAGTCCTGGGCACATGGTGAGTAGTTCTTCAAGTGCTCCCACCCATGTGTCTTCTCTTTTGTCCATCTATTCACCCATCCTTTCATTCATTCATTTAATAAATATTTATTGAACACTTAATAGGCAAACTATTTTCAATAAATCTTCTCATCGATCCATACAATGAGAAGCAAATATTGCTATCACCTAAGGCCAAGAAAAGTGGATATCCTTGTCATGTTGGCCAGCACATGGAAGCATCCATGGATTGGGCTGGGACTGTCTGACACCAGGGTCCGATCTCTTAACACTGAGCTGTATGAACCACCTGCTGTGTGCCAGGCATTGGGTGTATGGTGAAGAACCCAGCAGCCATGGCCAAGCTAGAGTTCCTTCCCTGACACCTCTGCCCTCTAGTCTCTGTCTACTCCATCCCATCCAACATCCCATCCTGTCTTGTTGCTCAGGGACCCCCGGGCCCCACCGGACCCAAAGGAATCTCTGGCCAACCAGGAGAGAAGGGCGAGAGAGTGAGTACCCAGGTCAAGGATTCTGGAGAGTTCTGGGGGCCCCAGGTCCGAGCTCCCGACAGCTGATGCCATTCATCTCTTGCCTCCTGTACAGGGACTGCGTGGGGAACCTGGCCCCCAAGGCTCTGCAGGGGAGCGGGTAAGTGATGCTGTCCACTTTGCAGCCAACCCTGCAGGATCCACAGGACTAAATTCCTACTTTTGCTCCATCCCCTGTGACCAGAGCTCCTGACCCTCCCTGTCTGGTTCAGGATAGCTCCATCTTCTCTCAGTTGCTCCCTCTCTCTGGGACCCATTATCCTCTTAGGATCAGGTTGTATCCACCTTCCTCACTCTGGCTCTCTGTGTCTATATCTGCTTATTTCTCTCTCTCTTTACCTTTATTCTTTGATTGTATAGTTCTCTTTCTTTCACTCTCTCTCTCTCCAACTCTTATTGTAGATTTGTCCATTTCTTCCTTTAATTTTGATAACTTTTGCTGTATGTATTTTGAATCTTTGTTATTAGGTGCATACACATTTAGAATTTCAATGTCTCCTTGATCATTTTTTCTTTTTAAAAGTAATATCTTGCCGGGCTCGGTAGCTCAACCTGTAATCCCGCACTTTGGGAGGCTGAGGTGAGTGGATTGCTGAGCCCACGGATTCAAGACCCGCCTGGGCAACTTGGTGAGACCTCATCTCTACAATAAATCAAAAAAGTTAGCTGGGTGTGGTAGCATGTGCCTGTAGTTCCAGCTACTTGGAAGGCTGAGGCAGAAGGATCGCCAGAGCCCAGCAGGTCAAGGCTGCAGTGGCCGAGAGCGTGCCACTGCACTCCAGTCTGGGCGACAGAGTGAGATTCCAACTCAAAAAAAATAAAAATAAATAAAATATTATCTTTTTTAAAAGAGAGGAAAACAAAGAAAATATCTTATCTTTATCTCTGGTAATACTCTTTGTCTTGAATTCTCCTTTGTTTGCTATTAAAGTAGCCACACCAGTTTTCTTATGCTTAGCAGCTGCATGGTATAGCTTTTTCAATCCTTTTTCTTTCAGCTTGTCTTTGTCTTCATATTTAAAGTTTATTACTTTCAAACAACATATAACTTGGGTCTTGCTTTTCTTAAAAAGACTGGTTAATTTACATTTAATGATTTGTATAATTATTGATATGGTTGCATATAAGTCAACCATCTTGCTATTTGTGTTCTACTTACTCCATCTATGTTTTCTCCCTTTTTCTTTTCTTGCTCTCTTTTGGATTGAGTACTTTTTGTGATTCCATTTCTTTTTTTTTTTTGAGTTGGAGTCTCACCCTGTCACCCAGACTGGAGTGCAGTGGCCGCTACTGGCCACCGCAGCCTCGACCTACTGGGCTCCAGCGATCCTTCCTCCTCAGTCTTCCAAGTAGCTAGAACTACAGGCGCGCACTACCACGCCCGGCTAATTTTTTTATTCATTTATTGTAGTGATGAGGTCTCGCCAAGTTGCCCGGGTGGGTTTCGAACCCGCGGGCTCAGACAATCCACTCACCTCAGCCTCCCAAAGCATGGGATTACAGGCTGAGCCACCGAGCCTGGCTTGTGATTCCATTTCACCTCTACTAATAACTTTTTAGCTATGGCTCTTTGTGTTATTTTTTCATGGTTGCTCCAACAATGTGTATCCTTGACTTAACACAATATACTTCAGTTAATATTGTGCCACTTCATGTCTAAATAGGAATATTACTCACATATAATTCTATTTTCACCCCTGTGTTTCTTGTGCCATTAGTGTCCTATGTTGTACTTCTGCATTTGTTATAAACCCCACAATATGTTATTAGTATTATTGTTTCAAACACTTAACTTTTAAAGAAGTTAAGAACACAAAGGGCTAGGTGCAGTGGCTCATGCCTGTAATTCTAGCACTCTGGGAGGCAGAGATGAGAGAATTGCCTGAGTCCAGGGGTTTGAGACCAACCTGTGCAACTTGGCGAGACCTCATCTCTACAACAAATCAAAATAATTAGCCAGACATGGTGGCTCACACCTGTGGTTCTAGCTACTTGGAAGGCTAAGGCAGAAGGATCACCTGAGTCCAACAGGTATAGGCTGTGGTAACTGCGAGCGTGCCACTCCACTCCACTCCAGCTTGGGTGACAGAGTGAGACCCTGACTCAAAAAAAAAAAAAAAAAGAAAAATAGTCTTTTATATTTATTGATGTACTTGCCATTTCTAATATACTGTACTTTCCTGTAGATCCAGATTTATATCTGATATCTTTTCCCTTTCTTTAACCTTTCTTGTAGTGTGTCTTCTGACCACAGTTAATCTAAAACTGTCTTTATTTTACCTTCATTTTTTAAAGACACTTTCACTGGATAAAAAATTACTAATTGACAGTTTTCCCTGCTTTTAACAGAAGACCATATTTCATGGTCTTCTGGCTTAAATAGTTTCTCTGAAAGAATTGGCTGTCGTTGTTGTTCTCTGTATATGATGTGGGTTTTTTTCTCTTGCCTTTAAGAATTTTCCCTTTATCCTTAGTTTTCAACAAATTGATTCTTTATCCTTAGTTTTCAACAAATTGATTTTGATGTGACTAGGTGTGTTTTTCTTTGTGTTTATTCTGCTTGGGATTCCCTAAGATTCTTGAATCTGTAAAGTTTACTGGAGTTTTTGTTTTTGCTGGTCACTTGGGTGGGGTGTGGGGGAATTGTTTGTTTTGTTTCTTTAAGAGATAGGGTCTTGCTCTGTTGCCCAGGATGGAGTGCAGTGGTGTGATAATGGCCCACTGTAACCTCAAACTCCTGAGCTCAAGCAGTCCTCTTGCCTCAGCCTCCCACATAGCTAGGACTACCAGCTACCGAGTATACCACCACACCTGGCTAATTAAAAAAAAAATTGTAGGGACAAGATCTCACTATGTTGTCCAGGATGGTCTTGAACTTGTGACCTCAAACAATCTTCTTGCCTTGGCCTCCCAAAGTGCTGGGATTACATGTTTGAACCATTATGCCTGGCCTATTTTTTTGTTTTTGATTAATATACTTTTTTAAAGGGCAGTTTTAGGTTCTCAGCAAAGTTGAGTGGAAATTGCAGAGTTCCTTGTCCTCACACCTGTACAGCCTCTCCCACTAGTGACATCTCCCAGTAGAGTAGTACATTTGTTACAATCAGTGGACCAACCTACATTGACATATCATTATTGCCCAAAGTCCATCATTTACATTAAGATTTATTCTTGGTATTGTATGTTCTATGGATTTTGACAAACACATAATGACATATATCTACCACTGTACTATCATACAGAATAGTTTCACTGCCCTAAAAATCCTCTGTGCTCACCTGTTCATCCCTCCCTTCTACCCAGCCCCTGGCAACCACTAATCTTCTTACTTTCTCTATAGTTCTGCCTTTCCCAGAATGTCATATAGCTGAAATCATGTAGTATGTAGCCTTTTCTTTTCTTTTTTTTTTTGAATTGGAGTCTCACTCTGTCGTCCAGGTCAACATGCAGTGGCATACTTACGGCCACCCTAGCATCGATCTGCTGGGCTCCGGCGATCCTTCCGCCTTAGCCTTCCAAGTAGCTGGAGCTACAGGCACGTGCCACCACACCTGGCTAATTTTTTATTTTATTGTAGAGATGAGGTCTTGCCAAGACTGCCCGGGCTAGTCTCGAACCTACGGGCTCAGGCAGTCCACTCACCTCAGCCTCCCAAAGTGCTGGGATTACAGGCTGAGCCACCAAGCCTTTTCAAATTGGGTTCTTTCACCTGATAATAAGCATTTAAGCTTCTCCACATCCTTTCATGGTTTGATAGCTCATTTCTTTTTTTTTTTTTTTTTTTTTTTTTGAGTTGGAGTTTCACTCTGTAGCTGGTCACACTCAGAGCCACCGTAGCCTCAACCTGCTGGACTCAGGCAATCTTTCTGCCTTAGCCTTCCAAGTAGCTGGAACTACAGGCACACGTCACCACATCTGGCTAATTTTTTATTTATTATAGACACGAGGTCTCACCAAGTTGCCCAGGCTGGTCTCGAACCCGCAGGCTCAGGCAATCCACTCACCTTGGCCTCCCAAAATGCCGGGATTACAGGCGTGAGCCACTGTGCCTGGCCTAATTATGACTTTCATGGACCATACCTTTGGTGTTGTATCTAAAAGGCCATTGCCATACCAAAGGTCACCTAGATTTTCTCCTGTGTTATCTTATAGGAGTCTTATGGTTTTGTGCTTACAGCTAAGTCTGTGATCCATTCTGAGTTAATTTATGTTAAGGTATAAGGGCTATGTCTAGATTCATTTTTGTTGTATGTAGACACATCCAGCACAGTTGTGGAAAAGACTATATTTGCTCTGTAGTATTGCCGTTGCTCCTTAGGCAAAGGTCAACCAAAGATTTACTTTATTGATGGGTCTGTTTCTGGACTCTCTTTTCTGTCCCATTGACCTATTTTTCTGTTATTTCCTTTTTTTTTGAGTCTGAGTCTCACTCTGTCACCAAGAGTGGAGTGTATGGCACACTCACGGCCACTACAGCCTCGACCTGCTGAGCTCAGGTGATCCTTCTGCCTCAGCCTTCCAAGTAGCTGGAACTACAGGCATGTACCACCATACTGGACTGATTTTTTTTTATTTATTGGAGAGACAGGGTCTCGCCAAGTTGCTCAGGCTGGTCTTAAACCCATGGGCTCAGGCAGTCCTCCTGTCTCGGCCTCCCAAAGTGCTGGGATTACAGACATGAGTCACTGCGCCCTGCTTTTTCTGTTATTTCACCAATACCATGCTGTCTTGATTATTCTCGTTTTATGGTAAGTCTTAAAGTCAGGTTGTGTCACTCCTCCAACTTTGTTTCTCCTTCAATACTGAATTGGCTATTCTGGTTCTTTTGCCTTTCCATATAAACTTTAGAATCAGTGTATTGTTGTTGTTGTTCGTTGTTTTAGTTGGAGTCTCACTCTGTCACCGAGGCTGGAGATCAGTGGCCTTGACCTGATGGGCTTAGACGATCCTTCTACCTCAGTCTTCCAAGTAGCCAGAACCACAGGCACATGCCACCATGTCCAGCTAATTTTTAAAAAATTTATTATAGAGACAAGTTGCCCAGGCTTGTCTCAGAACCCTGGACTCAGGCAAGTGTCTCATCTCGGCCCCCCAAGGTAC